TCCACTCGGCACGCTTGCATACCGTCGTGAAACATACTCGCGATCAGTCACTTCGAGGTCAGCCTATCATTAGGGGGTCCGTGGAATTCGATGCGCTGTCGAGGCTGACGGGCGGTGCTGGAAGTCTCACTTCTCGACGAGACGAAATCGTGGGAGGGCGTTCCTCGTAAGTTCTTGAAGGGAAATGCGGCACTTGGGGATGCATCGAATTGGGGATGAGCGATCCACTTCAGAGAAGTCGTCTATTCAGCTTCTCCTGATCCCCGATACGTGCGTCAGCTGTCTGAGGAACGAATCGATGAATAGATCGAATGATACATCAATGCACTGCCGGCATATGCTCGGAGAGAGGTAGTGCGAATTCACTTTCTCCCGGGGCGCCCGGATGTATGTACACATACGCTCTCCTGGATCGTCAACAAGATCAGTCGGAAAAGAATCTGTCGTATCGATCGCTTCGGGAAAATCCCCGGCGACGGGCTCGGGCATTCGGCGAATCGATGAAAGCGGTAATCAACGAATTCAATTCTGAGGATCACCTTTAACGGAAAGTGCATACCTCTCAACCTTCTTAGGATCTTTGCTTCTCCGAGCTCGGGTCGTTCCCTCCGCAGGCCGAACACGCATCGCGGAACACGTGATTCGGGTTCGGGTGCATGAGCCCGTCTTGATGAATTTGGAAAATGAGCTCCGCACGAGCTTTCTCAGGGAGACCTTAAAGACCTCTCTCGTGGAGAATCGTCTGGATGGCGAGTGACGACGTGGTATTCGTATCGAGCTAAGTGATGGAAAACAACATCAAACAAAACAGCTGCCTCCGATTGTGATCGGAGAACGCCGGAATGGCGTGTGGGACTCTCCCTAGAGCGAGGCGAGCGTGTCCTTCGGGAGCGCTCAATTGAAACTAGGTAATTAGGGATCGAGCAACTCGAAAGGCGGGGGATGTGGTGAAGGGGTTTGCGCGATGTCGCATTTCAACGGGAGTCTCCTCTCGTTGAGCAGTCCTAATTCTCCTCCTGAGTCGAGGACGTGCGAGACGCGGCGAACTGTTTGTAGAGACCGTCTGAGGGTAAAGACAGCAGGAATGAATGACTGGGATCCTCAGAGGCTCACTGTACAGCGAGAGGTAGGTCGGTCGGCCGGTTTGCCGTCGCGTCTTAGCACTTGGGTCGTTCAATTTCCTGAAACTACCGTACGATTTCCTGTTCTGAACAGAGGCTCTCGAGACTTCTAAGAAGTCTTTAGAGGACGTCCGAGTGAAAGTTCGCTGGCGGCGACAGGACTGACTGAGATGATCCGTCCCCCTGTCTCGAGAATAGAGCCATTCAATGTTTCCGTTCTCCCGCGCAAAACGACATACGTTATTCAAACTCATCGCTAAATTCTTCCGCAGGGACCTCTTCCCGCTCGCGAGAGATAGAAATGACGCAGAAAAAGGAGAAAGTAGTTATCGCAGCCTTTCCTTCACGCGTCCTTCGCAAGCCACATTATTGCATTCGTCGGGGAGGCGCGCGAGAAGTGCTATCAAGTTTTTTAATATTCTTCGGATAGGTGGGTTCCCAGGTGAATAATTTCCTTTCATAGCGCCGCTCCAATATCTGGACTCATCGGAGCTCTTTCGCCCACTTATCGAGCCTCATGAGCTCGAGTTACGAATTCCGCCAAGCGATCCGGGCATGACGTCGGTTGCGGATCGGAAAAAAGAGCGAGGCGTCTGAGGCACCCTATTCCCTCTATCAGAGAGACTCTCTCCGCTGAGGGGCGACCACAAAGAGACTGGGAGCACACCCTTTGCGAGAAGGCTCTCTCACGAGTCGGGCAGCCCCACTCTGCCCTTCATCTCGGAACGTCTTACCTATGATTATATTACTATTCTTGTTCTTCTCGAGCGAACTTCTTCCTCGCTGACAGATTATGGCGGACGGACGTACTCATTTACGGCCCAGTCTCTTTCCTCAGAACGATGCGAGTGAACTTCTGATAGCTGGAAACGAGCTTCTTCTATCAGGGGAATACTCCAATGAACGATGGAAGTTGACGTGGCGGCGATAGGAAGATAGACGAGCTCGTTCTCGTAGTCGACCAAGATCGCCATTATGCTCTTTGACGTTTCTGCGTCGCTGCACCGTAGTCCTGAGCTCGGGAGAGGGATGGCTGCGAGAAACAGCTGACTTTTTCCTGTTGCACACAGACACCATACTCTCGCCGGAGCGATGGTGGATTGCGACTCCGGATGCCTGCGGAGCCGATCATTCGTTCTCGAATATGGCGCGGAGCTCGACTTGTTAGCATCGCGGGAAGGCTCGCCGCCGAAGATATCAAAGAACGTATCCACGATCGGGTATCGACGATTCCTGGATCCTATTGCCTCCGTAGACTCTAGCCGCTGTCCGAAATCACACCCAATCCCTTGGTTCTCTTCATGGGAGGCGTGGATCTGAAATAATCTTGCGCTGGATCTGGGTGTCTCTCGCCAATTTCCTCCTCCAATTGTTCCTCTGACGGCTCTGGCTCCCCCTGCAAGCGAGAAGGTCCCATTGAAAATGGAAGGTGGGAGTTTCCGGACAAAAGATACCTTGGATGTCTTCGAGCGGAATTTACACTCGGAAAAACTCAATTGTCAGTCTCGCTGTGCGTCGAGTCGCCCGAGCAGACAGAATTAAATGCTGCAGTCGTCGAAAACTTGTCCCAAGAGTTTGGGTGGAGGTTTCAGCATTCATGGAAGCCGTCGCTCATCTGCGAACGCTGCGCCAGTATCGCGCGGAAAATACCTGATCTCTCAGCCTCTCGCTCGGGAGCCGTCTCGTTGCCCTGAAGGCATCGTCTCTTCCTTAGATCCCGAGGCCTTTCTGGAGAATTGCTCGTTCGCAACGGGAAAAAGGGTTGACGAGCATCTATATTGTGGTTGCACAGATAGCATCAGTAGCGAGCTCAGCTGCAGAGCTGAGGCGAATAGGATAGGATTCCGAATTACGCAGAAGAAGCGCGAGGAGCTCACGAGTAATGATATACGGAGCTCCTTTTCGCAGTCGTTGAGCGGGAGTTATTCCAAGCGTTCTCAGCTCATAAACACCGTTCTCGATCAAGGGCTCGTTGTTCATTTGTCGAACGTTTGAGGATAATCATCTTTCCTGATCCGAGTTCCCTAAGGAAGAGCGAAACCTTCGAGGCCCCATTTATGCATCAACGCGGCTCTCCTTCGAGGGGTGGGTCCCGTGATCAGATGGTCGTGGTCAGGAGGATCGTGGTCAGGAGCGGAATATTCCTCTAGAAGGCCTACCCATTGGGACCGCGGACGGCAACGTCAGATTTCCTCCCATCCCCGGAAGCAGAGGTCTGAAATTCTGTGCACGTTCCACACACGAGGCCGTAGACGCGCTGACCAATCGGAACTGAACTTCTGTGGACAATCCCAGAGCTTCTTCCAGCAGATCGGTCCTACTTAGTCCATTTTCGCACGTCACGGAACATACTTGGACAGGGATCGACGAGCTCGACGCTAGGGTATAAACATGAAACAAGAGGCGTATACCTGCTACTATTCCTTTAGAGTTCCCCACTAGCGAGTTCTCAGCAAGTTTTGCAGTAGAATCCCTAAATAGAACTCCGAAGGAAAGATCCTCTGCTCGATGCGAAAGAGGAGCCTGCAGCTCAGCGGCGCTGTCTAGACGCGCCACGCGCTGAAATGCGATATAATCCCCGCACCTTAGAGGAGTACGGCTTTGAACTTTTCGAGGATGAAGCTGTAGTTCGACATCCCGCGTGGAAAACCTGATTGATTCCAGATAAGGGTTTATCCGATTCCCTCCATGCCGCGCCGTAGAACTCGCAGATGAGAAAATATTTCCAGAGTCGATGGGCTTCTGTCGGAAAGAAGGAGTCCAATCTGCGGACATGAGGCGGAAAACTGATTGCGCCACAGCGCATTGGACTGCGGGAGCTCGATACTATCCCCGAATTTCACTGAGGCGCAAGTCTGGCAGCCTCTAGGGGACTAAGATCAGAACGTTCGGCAGTCGGTCTTCGCTCGCGAGACGCTGGAGAATCGCTTCGCGTGTACATACATATACCTTTCCGATGCTATCGCATTCCATCAGAGATCGATCATCATCTCCGGGATCGCGGAAGAGCCGAATGAGAAATTGCGAAATCTTCTCCGGTCGAGCGTTTGGAAGCGCCTAAGCGAGTTATCCGTGGCCGTCGAAGGGCTTGTTTCAAAGGAGCAAGGAATGATAGAGGCCTTCACCCAAGCCCACATCAAATCAAGAGCAGGGAAAATCACGGATAGCAAATGTCGATAACATTTATTCATGCCTTCCGACACCCGACTCGAGTAAATTCCACCGGTTCAAACTTCCTCCGTCGAGCTGCTCGATATAGAAGAAAATCAGCTTCAGATACTACAGTTATGGTCTTCCCGGTCCCTGACAAGACCACGGATGAGAATTGAATTAGCCGGACATGAGCGATTGGAGAGGTCTGACTTCGAATTTCCAGATGTTCGGCACCGGTCTGCGACCGCGAAAGGATTGGATTCGAGGTCGACGTCTTGACTCGACGATGCTCCGAATTCTTTGGCATCGTCAAATAAATCCATTCCCTTCCATGTTTCCACCAGATGCATTAATGATCAATGTTGGAATTTTTCTTGATACCCGTAGGACATTTTCTCCAGGTTCGGATATTTATTTCATAATTTCTCGAGTCGTTGAGTTACACCCTTGCAAAACATTCTTCGGTCAGCATTCACAATGTCCAATCCGCTACTTACTTACAATGTGGACAATAAATGTGTACAGATTTTTGATACAATTTTTCTTCGTATGTAATACCACAAGCCTGGATCTTTCCAGAGTACCCTCATATTTCCGTCAATTTTTGGCAGGCTCCTCGGCTGTGGGTTCCTCTCATCGTGAGTTCATGAGCTTATTTTACAATATACAAGGGCATCTCCTGCCCTATGGGGGAGTTCCCGATGTCGAGTCCTCCTGCGAGTGTGAGCTTCAAACTTCAATCGTCGGCCGACTCCGATCACAATTGCCCGATGATAAAATAGACGAGGTTTAGGAGACTACGCATCGTCCTGTTCACGGCCGAACAAAACTTGCCCGAACAGGACTCGCCCGCTAGCCAGCGGCTATTTCGAAAACGCTAAAGCGGGACCGGATGCTTGACAGTCGAACCATGGCGCCGAAAAACAAGCAGTTAGAATTCCGTATTGTCCATGAGGGGTTCATGTACAACCGGTTGCTTCTGGTGCCTTGCGACGTGGTTCGTGTTCAAGTGATGATTATTGCAGCTAACGTAAGACGTGTACGTGTTTCTACGCTGACTGCTCCGAGACTTCCGACTGCAGAAAAGTCTGTAGAAACCTTGGCGGAATTTAGCATTCAGCCAACAGTAGATGATTGGGTTGTAGCACGTGTGACTCATGGCTATCCAATGAGATCCAAAATAAATGTATTTGGCGTAGTGGCTCTCATTCAGTTTTGAATAAGCCGATAGGAGATTATACACGTTCAGGGGCATCCAGCACAGGGCGAAGACCGACACGACGCAGATCATCATTTTGATCATCTGAAATAAGAGGAGAATCTTCAGTGTCTCGAGAGAGGGCTGCAGAAGGAGTCCACAGGAAAGCCGCCCACGGCTCCTTGACAGGTCTTCCGCGAAGAGTGCGGGAACAGCAGCAATAACATAAGTGAGCTCTTGTCCGACGGCACGGCTGTGCCTGATTGATGGAGCTGATGGGTCGTTCGACAGTATATCTATTGACTCCGAGGCCACGACGAACAGCAAACGACAGCGAAAATCGTACGGGGAGACGAGCCCTAGCATCAGGCGGCTCGCGGGGGAAAAACTGATCACTCGGAATCTACGAAGCGCTGATATCCCGAGTCCGTCTAGATATACTCCTCGAGCGAAAGCTGGGATTACTTGGAATCCTCACGAGGAGGAGTGAAAAAATCCCCGACTTCGGACAACGTGCCACACCGAGAAAATATGGTTCTCTCACGCGGGAAAATGTACCAAGCGGTTATTACGCGCCCCCATGCTGCTGGAGATCAGCGGATATCCCGCCATCCTTTTCCTCTCGTAGGCTGGCATTAGCTCGCTCGTCTCTCCGTTTGGCTTCGTTCTCCTTGTGGTCTCGGCCTCCCCGGGGATCCCGTCGGAACCACCGCAGGATAAATTGTTGCCATGCGAGGTTGATCATCGACTCAGCCAATCACAAGAGTTCGACCGAACCACTGATCGACCGACCGGCAGGCAGAGTCATCTTCGTAGGGGCAAGGGGGAACGAGAGCGTATGACGTGAGGGGTTTCCTGATGTGTTTCTTTTTTCCGAAGCGCCTCTTTCGGAAGTTCGACACGCTTATCGATGTCTGCTCCCATCTCCGCGATTCCGACCGTTCGGCTCGGAGAATCTTCGGATACTCCTCTGGAATGTCTCTATTAGCTCTATGGGGCAGACTCGCTCCGTTCAGATCAAAAGTTTCCGAATAGTTCCCTCGCTCGTCGCGACCTCGACTCCCGCGACCTTCCGGAGTGTTACAGAACACTCTCCTCTTAAGGAGTTGCGTCAGTTTCTGACGTTCTACTGCGGCTTCCTGGTACCGTCTTCCTAAATCTGATCTCTCGAGAAGCGAGCTCATCTCTCTCCCCCTCTTCCTTGCCGTGTTCGTGTATCCGAGTCGCCGGCGCTGCTTCGAGTCGTATGAGTCACAAGAGGCTCGATGTTGTGTACGTCACTCAAGCGAACGAACTAACCTTTCTCTTCGACTGCGCCATTTTACGGTCTCGTTGATCCTCGGCCTCTCCGGGAATTTCCTTCCCCCAGACGGTGACCGCAATTCGACTGTAGGTGACTATGAGGACGAGCAGAGGCAAGATGTACTGCAGACTCAGGAGTCCGTACGAGTAATAAGCCTCTAGGTCGGGCATCGATGACCAGTCCTCGTTGCAGGTGTGCACAGAGTCACAATCCGGATGAGGTTTGAGTGTAAGCTTAAAAGCTGATGGCATCGGAGTCACCAGCGCAACTCCCCACACGATAACTATAATCGCTCTGGCCTGTAAGCCCGTCAGGCGTGGTTTGAACGGATACATTATGGCCATGTAACGATCCATAGATATCGCGATCAGCGTGTACGCGCTCACCATTACCTGGAACGAAGCACACGGTGTTAGGCGTCTCCCGATAACAATTAACGGCTCATACCGAGCAAATGGTGGTTCTATTGCAAAAAGAATACCCGCCCCTCCTGTTGTGCGGAACAGATTCCTACGGGCCGAGATCGCTCATTTTTAGCTCATGGTAGCCCTCGCTTGCCTTAGGGCGACGGCAGGGAGAGGGGTTCGATTGGCCTCGTCTCCCGAGAGGAGAGCGGCAGATCGAAGGCCAAGCCCCGAACTGGGGCTGTTTGGGGTCGATTTTGTCGACTGCCGTGGTATCTCATCAAGATCGTCAGGCTCCCCACTCCATACGTTCCCCTTGTCAGCAGGCAGCGTTCTTGCGGGACGCGAGCGGTCTCGACGCCAGAGGCGGGACGACTCTGTTGTGTGGGTGGGCGGCTTACGGCATTCTCTTTGCCTCAATTCGAGCAACGGAGGTACGTGCTCGCTTACGAAGCTATGAAGAGTCGCTCCGTTGGGCACATTCGAACTATATTCTCCATCCGGAAGCTCGCCCTGTTTGTTCTCTGTCTATAAGAGTTTCCTTGTTCCTGTCTAGATCCTGATAGCAAGAGTCAATTTATTCATGGATTCTTCTGCGTGCGAATGTAAACGTCTGCTGCACTGTCATTTCTCGGAAGAGACTCGTCTTGTCAAATTATGCGAGGCGAGTCCGGTAGCTTGGACCACGTTGACGGTTTCGAAATCCACTTCAGTCGGACGCTCTTTGTGTTTGTGAACTCCTGGCGTGATCTTGAGGAAAATTTCTGCGCTTTGAGCACCGTCTCCTCTGCCGCCGCTTCCCTGGGCTGGTCGAACGAGATGTCTGCATTAGCTCTTGGAGCCAACAAGAAGTTCCTCCGGCGGCGCGGTATCCTCCCAAACTACGCAATTACATCGAACAGCCTGACAAGGAGCCGGGCAGCCGGGAGCAACAAGGAAGTGACCTCAGGGCTTCCTGCAGTTTGCGATACAAGAGCTTCCGAACTGCCGCTGCCGGCGCCGCTAGTCAGACGGCAACAGTGACAACTGGTCAGACGGCCGACTGACGAGCCACAGGAAACGGCGAATTCGCAGAAAGTCATATCCCCAGCGTGGGGTTTGTTTTGAAAGATTTTGGTGATCTCCATAATAGAAATGGCTTGTCTAATATCCGCTGTACCAGTGTTTCGTCTCGGACCTGTGTCCAGAATTCACAGTGGTGGGTGGTACATCGAAGGACCTTGAGATTCAAATAAATGGGGAATCGAACGCTTGTCGCCAACAGTAGAAAGTCCGGATTTCGACGACCGCCCATCCGAGGACGGGCAAAACTGAACTTCTCGGAGGAGAGAAACGAGCTTCGACTTCAAATGGAGAACCCCCGCGAAGTCACTCCCCCGACGCTTCTGGAGGGACGGGGGGGGGGCTGGGCATTACCATCGCTTGAAGCGCAGTTCCGTCATACGGGGAGTTCTCGACCCAGCTCATAGTAGAATTATTGAGCTCAACAAATAGCGTCAGCCTTGCCCGCGACCTTGTTAAGCGCGGAGTTCATTAATCATGCAGGGGCAATAGTTGACCTTTTCGGGGATCTGCGTGGATCGAAAATCCCTCTTTCATATGTGCCGAATATCCCATGCCTGGCGAGAGGAGGTATAGCCGGACCGTGAGAAGGAATCGCAAAACACCTATGCTCATTCCTGTGACGCAGGCCGGCAGAATCAAGTTCCTCGTCATGGAAGAGGCTGATCTGCTCCGCGAAGCGCGCAGCTCAAGTCGGATTTGAAGTTTCGAGCCAAGCGAATAGTTGGACATCTTGAGATCGTTGAGATCCAGCGATGTCGTCGAGACACAGTATCAAACCCGCGACGTTCTTGTCATTCACGTCTTTTAACGCCAGAGGATTTCAAAGCCTCTCTGACGGCCTCGTTTACCCGGATGCAGTCTCGAAATTTCTATGATCAGCTATGCCGTTAGAAAATTTTCCGCCTGATCATACAGGAACGGACTCCGACGGAAGCGGAGCCTCTCGTTCTGCTTCCGGACTTCTGAGCTACGACATTTCCAGTCGAGCCGAGGTGTACAAAAAAGAATGATGAATGACATATACAAATGAATACCTCCATCATCCGGCCTCGATAAGGCTCTGGTCGGGAGTTGCATAAACTAGAATTCCAATCTTCCCTTCCGAGAGACTCGTGTGCTGCGGTAGACCAGCCCGCCATGTCGCTAGTCGTAATCTCGCTGAATACAACGTCAGCGACGCGGCGCTCGGGAACGAGCTCCTAATTCAATGGTTGAAGTTCGCCGCTTTTTCCCTATGCGGATCGTCAATGCAGCTGCAAAGGTATGGCGGAAGCTAGCATGAAAGGAGGGAAGAGTCTCCCCCAGCAAATCGAATGAGCCCTCTATCTCTTCGCGTTTTGAGATAATACCCACATGCGGGATGAATGTCGGACAAACATAAAGAGAGTTGGGATAAACTGAAACGGGCGCGATTCCCACGACGCAAACTATTCGGCTGTCAGTAGAGCTCTCATGTCCCCGTACTGGTTCATGCCAATGAAAGCGGAATGCTCGCCAGCCGCCTGTGGTCGAAATTCGACGTCCCTCGATGGACTGCGATCACCGACAAGGAACCTACCTTCGTTGCTCCCATGTTCTCTATTGTCCCAATACTCACCGATATCGCCTGGCCGTAAACCACGATGACGCACATCGGGTAGCCAAACACCCAGTTTTGAGTGACGAAGGTCGTAACAAATGTGAATGGTACACAGAAGACGGACATGAGGATATCTCCGATGGCCAAGTTGACGATGAACACGTTGGTGACCGTACGCATTCTCGGGTAGGCAAGTACGACGTAGCAGACCATTCCGTTGCCCACCAGCGCGAACACCGTTATGAGAGCGTACATGACGCACATGATGAACAGCATCGGTTTGTCGTTGTCGTTGGATTCGACTGAGCAGCTGTTATTCACGGCATCGTATATCGACGCTGAAAAAGGGAAGTTGAACACCTTAGTCAGTCGGATATCCCGGATTTCCCACCTGAGCATCGTTTAATGCAATCAGAACATCCTCCATCGACCTATTGCGATATTTCTCTATATGAGCCCCCTCTGTTCGTTGCTAGAAAGGTGATCAGCTGATATCCGTGATTGCTTTGAGCGATATAAAGGAGAGGCACTTTGCGGTCGACCTGACACCGTTTTCCGGGCGGAGAGAACCTACTCTACTGCGGAGCCTCTCGTCCGCCTCTCCGCAATTTTATCTCCCGCCTCCGCGCGCTCTTCAGACGGCTCGTGCTCCCAGCTCTACCCGTCTGGTCGTATGTGTATTGAGTTGCTCCATCGTGAGGGGGCGATAAGACTCCGACTGGCAGACTTCGTTGGTGTGCGACTATCGAGTTTCGGTAACAACTCGCCCACGGCTGAACGAGAGCCGCGAGAAAACTTTTCCAAGGCAAGGAGGCAACAGATTCCGACGTTAATGGCTTTGTCACTCGGCAACGCGCAGATTCCATGATAAGAAGAGCTGCGGATATCTGTGTCACGAATAGAAGCATCTCTCGTCGCCGGAATTCTTTGCCTCATACCAGTTCATGAGCAAGCGAGAAATAGGAATCGAAGCCTACCGAATTCAATTCGTGGATTCTGGACCGCGCTCTCGAACCTTTCCGGTTTCCAGACTGGACATGGTCTCTTGAAATTCACCGAGTCCTCTCTCTGGGATTAATAGAAGTTTTCCTTGAGGTGAGAGGAGAGCTCTCGTGAGGGGGTTTTGAGCTATACGGAACTTCTACTCTCGGACATGGTGTCGTCTCGCGACATTAGAACGAGTGAAACGTCCTGCTCCTTCTCTACAATCACCGATAGAACGTCGGGTTGAGAACTTGATCCGGCAATCGTCAAACAAATGATTCCGGTCGGGACCTCTATCGCTGGTCCCCGCAGGGGATCGAATCTCAGAGGATCCCAATCGCCGCCAAGATCGTTTCCGATCAAAACGAGAGATGATACATACCTCAGCGCGCCAAGCCTTGTCTGGAGTACTGGATTGGACGATGCCAAAAAAACGGTCGTTCGACGTAATTGACAGTTTTGTCGATGCTCTAGAAAATTTGGCCGAACAGCGCTGAGCGCTCGCCGGATCTCTGACGTCTGATGTTCGAGGCTCCCTCCTCAAATTCTCTTCGAGTAGAAAATGAGGGAAGGCCAAAAAGAATTAGGAAGAACACCGAGGCGAAGATTTCGTCTCAGTTCCGTTCGTTCATATCCGAGCTCGACTCGAATTGCCGGCTAAGAATCTATCGCTTAGGAGATTGTGTCTTTGAGCACTCAAAGACCGTTTCCCGTGACGTTGCGACTTCAATCCCATTCCGTTGGGAGTTTGGAATTTCCCTCCGAGGGGATCTCGATGCTGTGAGCATCCCGGGTAGTCAGGGGACGATTCCGCGAGAACGCGACAACAAATTTTGATTTTATGCTGCGCGACGTATTCCTCGCATCTCGAGAGTAATGCCGGGTCACAGAGACCGTGGCGCGGAACGATAGGGTAGCCTGGAGAATCGAAAGTATTTCCGGACGTGAATTGCCAACATTGAGGGGCCGTCGCCGACGTCGCGATGCCGTCTGACTCACTGACTGACTGAGTGGATGTGAGCTCTCCGTTGAGACAGGAAACCTTGTTCGGCGGAAAGCTCACTCGGCGTGTACATTCCTCCGGAAGGGGTAAGGTGGGTGGGATGAGAACCGGGAGGTATAGACAGAGTTAGGCGGGAAAACTCCACTGTGGAAGCCGGCGGCCCGGTGGAGGGCTTGGTTGCCCCGCTGTTTTTCTCTGAATCAACCTCAGCCCGCATCTCGCAGAACTCTCGTCCAGGTCGCAGTACGGCAAACACCGTGCGTATTCTCAGCAAGCGAGGACCCTCCCTTCCGGCTTATCGTTTGCAGACAGAGCTGTGTGGATCGTTCCCGTAGGGAGCGGTGAAGGCGGCAGCGGCGGCGAAAGCGGCAACAATGAGAATGTCGACGAGTCGAGTCAGTTCTCCAGGAGAATCACTCATCAGTCGGCGGCGATCTCGACCGGATGCTCCCGCGGGAGCCTCGACGAAATTGGGAAATCGACGCAACAAGAGACAAACTTTGGTCCCTGGGTACACCGCGACGACGTTTCATCATCTCCAGGAAAAGCCGCGTAATTGATTGTCTTCGGAGATTCGGGGCTTGCTTCCCATAGGGTTGTTGGCTAGCCGCCCGGCTGGCGTCGAGCTGCCTCCACGTGAGCGAAGGTCTTCCTTTGACTTGTTGCTATGCAGGAACCGGTTGAATATCAAGCAACCTGCGCAAGAGGAGATATGGAGATGTGCCGCTGACTGGCAGCGTCTAACCATATGTGGAAGGAGCTTCCCGCGATGCCTCCGCCTCTCTTTCGTAGATGCATTCCGCCGTAGGGGACAACAGGCAACGTCGAAGATACAGGGAAGATTGAGGAACATACATAGATAAATTGACGCGCTCTCTGACTAGGCCTCGCCTGACCTTACTTCCGTGAGGACAAGGTTGCTGAGTGAACGAGAAAGTTCAAGTCGCAATGTGACACGTTCCAATGGAAAACGAATTTTCCTGCAAAGAACTGTATGCGGCATCGATATCTCCCCGAAAATTCAATCGAGGATTTTGGCTCTGTGAGCTATACGCTCGTCCGGTCGAAGAGCACACGTATGGAAAAACTATCAAAAAACATCGCAGTTAAATTCCCGCTTAAACCAGAGATGCCTGGGCTTTGATTCTGATGTTTTAGGGGCGACCTAAGTGCTCTCATGATTGTGGATAGCGCAAGTCAGCTGTTTCTTTCCCTGGCGGGTAACAAAATCGAACTGGGATGGATGGTGCTTGATATCTCTGGGCCATTGTGATCTTTTCTGTACTGTTATGTACCGTTCTTAAAATCCTTTATGCGAAAAAAAAGCTCATAAATGAATGAATGAAGCGTGGGAAATTTCCGCTCCCGGGACCGGAAAGCGGTCAGTGAGCATCCACGCTGGCATTCAAGCAATGTTTCTGCCACGGGCGCGATTTATTGTCGTGAGCCGGAATTCACCAACGAAAACGTTCCTCGCTGCCGACGGACCGAGAGCCGGAACGAGCGGAGGGATTTCCTTTCGGTTCCATCGACACGGAATGCGAAAACTCAAATACATCTGGGTAGCTAAACTCAGTCTAAGTCCACGTTCACGGCATTCTCGCGCCGCGCCTCTGCATACGACTCGACTTTCTGGCGCAGGGGAATTCGGAGTCTCTTCGATATTTCAACGAGTCTGCGATCGAGTCATCCTCTGCACGCTACCCCGTAAGCATCGCGGGACATTCAGCCTGACAAAGCTCAATTACTCCGCATGGTCTGTAGTTACCTACTCGGGAATCCCGCCCGTAGACCGGAGTTCTCCACAAGCTCGCGACTGACGATATTGGCGAGAAAATACCTCTCGAGAATTTCTCAATCGATATCGAAGATCCGGCTCGACCGTCGCATGTCGATGGTAAGGCACGATGTCACAGATCAAAGTCTAGCTCAACTTCCACGGGTCGTACGTGGGTACGTTCTTTCTTCCAAGGATTCGAGGCGCTATATATTAGCTGAGCTCGGCCGAACGTGGTTCGAATTACTCAGATTCGGCTCCTCATCCTCCGGCGTGAACCATAGGAGGTCGTCCCTTCTTCCGGCACTTAAGGTCTCACAGAAACTTCTTCGAACTCCACTCGAAGTCGAACTTCAACGAAACAGGATGAGCTCTCTTCGAGGTCAACGCGAGACCTACTACCACGAACGTACATTGATTTCACGAGGGAAAAAGAGATCAATCTGAACAACATCAGTCTGGAGGAGAGAGTCGAGTCAGCGGAAAATATTACGGCTAGGATTCAGGATGACATCGGGTTCTCCTCGGGTCTTCAACTCCATCACCGATGGTTCCTGAGTGCGAGGGCTCCCTCCATCCTTACACCGATATTCGCGATGGTGGCCAACCTCGAAGCAACGACGCGACGCAGGAATCGACCCCGGAGCTCCCGTTTTCCAGGTGGACGATCTCGTCGGGGGGGGGAGCGACAGGAATACGCTGACGACGACGTTTGGACTATCATCTCGACATCGGTGTTGGGCTTCTCCTCGGAGAGACTCAGACGGGAAATGGCGTTCGAATCGAAATCACCACAAGGGCCATTTCATAGCTACCGAGAGTTTCTCGAAGGTCATATCCTCTGCAATAACCGAGCTGCTGCTTCTCCGTACGGAGCCGCTCCGGCCAAAGCCTACGGTGAGATCTTGGAAAACAGACTGGGCAGAGGAATGAGCTGAACATATTGGTTCTAAGAGCACCGAAATCCAAATGAGACACTCTGAGACTCCTAGTATGCTGGTTCAGTTCTGCGCAATCTTCACACCCGCCAGGAAGCTCGCCTCAAGACCTTGCTGCCCGATGAATCCAAATGTCCGCGCATCACGAAATCTCGTTTCGCATAAGTCGAGCATCAGACGAAACGACAGATTGTCTCGAAGAAAGCTGCTTTTGAATGATTGCCGCATGTGGAACCAAATCGAGCCAGCTTAAGCCTCGTTGCTGGACAAGCCGCAGCCTTCAACTCCAGCCATTTTGGGCTACGAAAGAAGCCGACCTCGACTCACTATAGGAGACAGAAGAATTGACTCCTGGTGACAGCGCGGCTTACGAGCCATGGCACGGAAGAATGCCATGACGTGCCATATACGGAGTCGCCCCCGACCCATGGGGTAGAATGTGAGGAAGCGAATATCCGGTAGCGGATCGAGACGCCGGGAACGGCGCCGGCGGATCGGATAAGTGGACATATTGTGCCGCAAACTTGTAATTGGATGGTGGCTTTGAATCTCTCCGCTGCCCGGACGCGGGAAAGACGAAGACTCCTGGCGCCTAATAAATTGAGGATTGTAGTGAGAATAGAGGGAGCGA